ACCTGCATGTTATCACATTGCATGAATTACTGTTTATTGATTAGATTGTACGTATTAACGCAGGTACGAAAAAAAATGCGAATTTAAATTATCAAAATACACTTTATTTATTTATAGAAGTATATTATTTATTATATATATATTTAAGAGTTTAATTAATTCACTTAACTTAAGATTTATGCTGATCCTATTCGTTTTATTTCTACAGTATTTATACATATTTTATGTTAGTTCAGCAATTTTAGTTTAACAAAGAAATTATAAAAGTTAGGTAACAGTAAGTAATTTGAATATTTAGAATTGACAAAAATCTGTGAGAAACAATAATGTAATATGATATAAAACTTAAACTATTTATGAGAGCAATAATTATTTATTTCAAATACATATGTTTAGAACAACTGACTTTAATAGGCTGTTAAAATACATAGTCTGGGAAAATAATTGTAATATGATTTAATATGATTGGTTATAGTATAGGAAATTTATATTTTATGCTAATAGTGTAACAAAGTTATATTATGTATGAGTTTATATAGTGGAGTGTACGTAACTCCTCTCCTCTTCGTTGGAAGTTACGGCTAGATGAACTGAGCGGCAGATGTTTGATGTTCAGCGGCAGGAACTTGCCTTGTGTTGATTGAAGCTCTGTTGTTGACGAAGTTAGAGTTTCGTTTTCGTTGTAAAATATATCTGTAAAATGTTTTCGTATAGTTTACAGATACTTATCAGTAGATTTTTGTCTTCCTTATTAAAGTGAGAAGTTCTAATCGAATTACTTTTATTAGCAGAAAAAGAAATGGAAGGGCATTCAACATTAAAATTGTTAATTTCGATGAACTCACTAGATTGGTACAGAGTCACTTTTAGTGGTTGTTCCAAAAAGATGGTTTGATTCTTATTCGAAGAGTTTATAACTTCAACACAACTATACCAATACCGACAATTATAAACTCCTTCAGGGATGTATAACCCTGGTCCTATTACCGTCTTATTTATGAAAATGTTTCCATTTTCCACATCTACCGGTAACTTAGTTATTACTCGTAACTTTGAGTTTGGTTCTATGATATATTTATTCGACATGAAATTAGGTTTAAATAATAGTTGTAATTTTTAATTCCTAGTATTTAATGTTTTGTTTGAAAGATCTACAGTGGCTCCCAAGGATGTCAATGCATCTAGGCCAAGTAAACTATCAAAATAATTGTGAAATTTGAATATGCGGAAGTTTGTGTTGCCTATCAGTTGAATTCGATAAAATTTGGTAATGTAACTTGTTTATCTAATTAATGAGAATTTAAAATAATCTTAATTACAGGGTTTGTTTTTTGGAGGTCTTCTGGGTTTATATACTCAGGATTTATGAAAGATGAAGGTGAACCTGTGTCTGCAAGGAATTTTAAAGGTCTTCCAAAAGGAGAGTCTATATTAACATATGGAAGGACGGATCCATGTTTGTTGATATTAATGTATCCGATTGGTTCTTCGAGGCTGTTGGACAAAAATTTGTGGCGTCAATTTCAGGTTCCAAATTCTGACAATTTGGTAGTTATGGTTGTAGTATTGGTCAAAATTTTGATAGAGAGATGAGGATATGTTGAAAAGTTCCCCACTTGTAAATGTAGGTCGGTGTGTTTGTCTGAAGAAATTATTTTGGGGAGGTTTGCAGAAATTTGTTTTACCAGAGGAAGCGTCCATTGGTTCGGGTTTAGGAAATTGATTAATTGATTTACAGAATTGATTAATTGAGTTAGACACATTATTGTGGCAATTATGGTTTCGATAAAATTGATTACTCGTATTACTGAAATTTCTATTGTTAAAATTTCCACTGTTCGATATTTCTGAAAATTATTTCTGCTATATGTGGGTATATTAAATTTTTGTATGGGTATGTGGGTTTTATGTGTAGAAGTTGGTCTAGGCTATGCTTCCAGTCGACTATATGAAATATTTTGTTTGTTATATGAAAAAGCTACTGCTAAGCTTTCGGGTCTCATCGCTCTCACTGTGGACCCAAGTGGTTCTCTAAGAATGTGTTCAGACACATTTCTGTACAAAGATCCTTTTTCGATTTGATAACATTCGAATCGTTCTCATGCATTTATACATGCGCCGTTATGGTAGCAAGGATTTATATTATTTCGCTATAAAAATTCTCAACTGTCCTATTTCCCTGTTTTAAGCTATGCAGATCTCGAATGAGGGAAGTCTCATTTGTTTTATCGGAATAATGTAGTATAAGATTCCATTTTATACTATCCCAATCTGTACCCTGTGTACACGAAATTAATTGAAGAATTTCTTCTACATTGTTAATAAAATCAAATAAAAGTTTGGAATTGCCTTGGAATTGTGGCAGATCCTTAATGGCATCAGGTACTCTTAAAGAGTTAAAAATATCTGAGGTAGTGGTAGTTGGAGAAGGGTTTGTAGCCATATCAAAAGTCTTATTGTACTTTTTTAAATTGTGTATCCGAAACTTTTAATTATTATAATCTCTTGTATTTTTAAATTACCTTTATTAGCGTAAAATTGATATTGGATTTGATTGATCAAATAAAAATTTTATTGCTAAATTTAGCAATTCATTATATTAAAAATTCGATTCAATCTGCAATCCGAACGTACATAGTAAGTAAGTATTTAATAAGAGAAAATTGCAGAAATACGTCAGTTAATTGAAAAACTAACAAAATTTTTTTTTTTAAAATTAAAAAATCTGTTAAACCTAATTTTTTTTTTCCTTACTCCTCTTGGGAGCATAGGGCTTCCACTTGGCATCTCCATCTTGTTCTATTTTGGGCTATTTGCTTGACTTGACTCCATGTTAGACCTGCGTTTTCTAGTTCTGATTTACAGATCTACGCCAGGTGTTTCTGGGGCGTCCAGGTCTTCTTGAACCCTGCGGGTTCCACTCTAAGCTCATTTTAGCGATATTATTGGCGGGTTTTCTTAGAGTGTGTAAAATCCATTTCCACTTTCTTCTTCTTATTTGCCTTCCGATAGGTTCTTCGCCTGTTATAATCCAGAGGTCTTATCTATCTTGGCCAGAATATGCGGCATATAATTCTGAGGCATCTATTGATGAATACTTGCAACTTTTAACTGATAGATTTTGATGTTAGCCAAGTTTCGCTGCTATATGTCAGAACTGATTTCACGCAAGACCGGAATATTCTGACCTTAGTCGTTCTGAATATACCTGCTACTTCCCCATATCGGCTGCAGTCTACCGAACGCCGCTCTTGCTTTCTTCAGTCTGTTGTTTATATCTTCTTGGGCCCCACCCTCTGGTGTTATGATGCTTCCCAGATAGCAGAAGCTGCTAACGAACTCTACTTGTTGGTTATTGAGTTCCAGACTGGCTGTGCTAGTAGAGTTTATTTTCATCGCCTTTGTTTTGTCTATGTTTATTTCTAACCCCACAAGTTTGGCAAGTTTTTCAAGGTGTTTTAATTTGCTCTGCATGTCGCTGATCTTGTGGGACAGAAGGCAGATGTCATCTGCATAATCTAGATCCTCCAGATGTTGAGTGAGACTCCAGATTATGCCAATTCTCTATGAGCAGACAAGTTGCAAGATGTTATCTAGCACGATTGTGAAGAGCAGCGGTGAAAGTGGGCAGCCTTGTTTCACTCCTGACTGGGTGGTGAAGGACTCGCTTATTTTCCCTCGGTGTAATACTGCTAGCTCGGCTTCTTCGTACAGTGCTTAGATTATTTTGTCTGGGGTTCCCCTATCTTTTAACGCTTTCCATATTGCATCGCGCTTAATTGTGTCGAAAGCCTTCTTAAAGTCTATGAAGAGCATGTATAATGGTGTTCTGTACTCTATTGATTGTTCGACTATGATTCGAAGCGTATTTAATTGATCGACACAACTCCGATGCGGGCGGAACCCAGCCTGTTCTTCGCGTATTGTTTCCTCTAGTTTTTCCCTTAAGTGATTCTGGATAATTGTTGCCAAGACTTTGTATGCTATGTTAAGTAGTGTGATGCCTCTCCAATTATCACAGTGAGTCAAGTTGCCCTTTTTTGGTAATTTGATAATAAGGCCCTTTTTCCATGACTGCGCAACCCTTTCTTCCCTCCAAACTTGTGAAATATGTGGTTCTAACAGCTGGGTCATAAAAGTAATTCCGCTGTTATGCCATCACTGCCTGCAGCCCTGTTATGTTTAAGTTTTTGTATGACTGTTTTTATTTCGCTAATATTTGGTGGATCTTCAGAAATTCTTAAGTTTGTTTGTCTTCTGACTGGGTTACTACTGTCATGCACTTCTTCGCTGGTCGTATGTGTTACGTTGCTAATTGTTTCGAAGTGCTGTTTCCATATTTCTATCTGGGCCTCTTCATTTGTCACTAGGTTACCGCTTCGGTCTCTGACAGGGCGGGTTGTGTTTTCTTTTTTTTGCCCGGTGAGATTATTAATTATTCGGTGCAAGCCACGCATGTTGTTCTGCCTTGCGTGTTGCTCCGCTTGGGACGCCATCTTTTCGAGATATCTCCGCTTGTCTCTTCTAGCAGCCTTCTTTACTTGTTTTGCTAAGCTCTGGTACTGTGGAGACTTGTTGTTGTTTTCGCTGGTCGCTAGTTGCTTAGCATCTCTCCTTTTATTGATGAGGTCCCAAGTCTCGTCAGAGATCCATGTTTTGGAAAAATGTTGGACAGCTAACAACAACTGAATTGCAAATTGCACTGTATTCCATAATCAAATTAGAACAAACTGTCTATTACAATTAGAAATTAGCTGCCCAATAAAAAACAAGTTGCTGCTTGTTAACAGCAATGTACTAGAGCTTCGGTCATTTTTTAAAGATGTTATCTTAAGAAGTGAGAGGCAGACTACTAATATCGACGACAATTCCAAACATTCCATTATAATACCAGGTTCTTGCCATTTGACGTCATTAATAATAGACCACGCACACCAAAAAACACTTTATGGGGAAGGATTTAACAATGTCATAGATCCTGGGAAAATTTTGGATTACCAATGGACTTCACAAAGTTAAAAAACCAATATAGAGTGTTGTTTATCGCAGATATAACGCATGCCAAACATACAACTTATGGGTGAACTAAAGGCAGCCGGTGTTACCATTGCCGCATTAGAACGATTCTTGGAAAAACGAGGAAATATGGCACATATTTACCAGAGAAATCGGGCCATTTTGTATCAGAACAGTCAATTCAGTGGCATCTTATTCCACCAGGCACTCCCTATTTTGGGAAGCTGGATTAAAAACAGTAAAACATCATCTCTCAAAAACTGTTGCCGATACTAAACTCACATTTAAAGAATTGGGTACCCTTCTAGCAAAAATCGACATTAATTTTATCTCCCGTCCACTTACACCATGTATAGGAGACATAGATGTAATAGGAGCGTTAACATCGGAGAACTTTTTGTAGCCTAAAAACTATTCAATGTACCTACCAAAAACATGATGAATATGCAAGAAAATTGGCTTCGGCGATAACCAAATAAATTATAAATTCTGAAAAAAATTGTCAAATGAATAGCTGTTAAGACTTCAAGCACGTAAAAATTGGCAACAACAAAAAAAAATTTAACAAGAGGCTCTTTGGTTTTAATTCACGAACCTAATTTTCCTGCTCCAAGATGGACTTTAGGGAAAATTTTAGAAGAGCATAAAAATCGAAATGATCTTACAAGAGTGGCCACACTACAGACAAAAAACGGAGAAATTAAACGCCCGATTACGTCGCTTATATTTCTAGCGGTGAAAACTCCAAATAATGAACCACCTAAAGTAGTATCAAGTCAAGATACAGCTGAAGTCAAGCCAAAGCCCTTATCAGAACCCTTATTCTACCATATAACAGCAACCCAGAAAGCACAAAGCGCACCTCTACACTACAACTTACATTATCAAGTAATGTCGCTGTAATATCTGTCCAGAAGAGAGAAGCTAACAATAACAAAACGCTCGGCCTTACATAAATTATCACAAGTAAGTAAATGAAGCAAGTTTTTTATTAACCTAACTTCGATTTCTATAAAACCACCAATAACTGGATTTACAATCAGTTACAATACAATCAGTTTAACGTCAGAGCAAGCAGGAATGTACGGTGCTATTACCAGTAAAGTTGAATTATCGTATCTCCCTGCATATTCATATCACCAACCTCGTAAGCTCTATCAACAATCTAAAACTCACTCACAATGTTCACAATGTGATGCACAATGTAAATAGCACCATCATCTATGTAATCATACTAGCACTTGTATTATGGTTCATTATCACAAAATGGAGAACTCGTCAACAAATTCCGCAGCCTCAACCCCGAGCTCGTAATCGTTCATCTATGACGGCTCAAGACTTCTCGCTTGCCTTTCAAAGGGAGAATGTTATGTAACAACAATTATTCTGAATTCTTTTTTTTTTATTATTTTCCTATTTATTTTAATTACCAAAATTGCTAATATTCTAATTTGTCAAAAGTTAATATTAACGCACATGTATTTGCAAACATTATAGTTAGTTACATGTAAATATTTTCCAATATATAGTTATGTCACCCTCATCTCAACTACCAATATTGAATCATCCTGTACCGCTTTCGTAAATTTTATTTCTCGCACCACATTCTTTTTAAATTCCATAAGTTATTATAACTAATTTTTTTTTCTTTCCTAGAATTTTTAGTATTTGTTCTCACAAATATCAAGCATTACTAGAATGCTACATTCTAGTTTTTTTCCCTTTTATTTTTTTTTTACCTAAAAACGCCGAATATGCAAAAATGCATAATTACCTAAGTTTTATTATAAACATGAGTAACTTTTTTTCAACTGATATTGTTACAGTAAAAATAAAGTACATGTTAGAATATTTTAAAGATTTACTTTTTTAATTCTTATTTCGGAGTCATTACAGTAAAGTTTGTTAAATAAAATTAAGGAGTACTCGTATAAAAGTTGTCAATAAAAATAATAATAATAAAAAGAAAAAGAACATTAATAAGTGGAACCTATTTATAAGAAAATAATAATAATAATAGGAATTTAATTTAATAATATTAAAATCTGCTAAATAAAATTATGAAAGTTAACTACACTAGAACATTAACAAGTGGAACTTATGTATAAGAAAATAATAATAATAATAATATGAGTTTAATTTTAATAATATTAAAATTTGTTAAATAAAATCAAGAAAGTTAACCACACTGAAAAATTTTTGTTGTTTTAATTACAAACAAAAGAAAAGCGCCTAACTAAATAATAAAAAATTTAGTTTTGAAAAACAAAAATTAAATTTAAAATAATAAAAAATTAAATTGGCGCAGATCCGGTTAGGATTCGACTGTAAAAAGTAAAGCGCTTAATAATAAAAGTGGATAACTTTAAAGACTTGGTGAACATAGAAAAAAGATACCAAAACATTTTAAACAAAAAGAGACAAGTTCCTATCTCAGAACAAAACACCGCAAGTGCTACAAATACACCCTTAGTGCTGCAGATAAACCCACTAAAGTACATCGATGGAATTCCAGAGTACAATGGAAAAGGTGAGGACTTATATAAATTTATTGAACTGGTAGAAAACGAGATCCCGTTAACTCTCCAATATGACGTAAGTAGTCAAACTATATTATTAAGTAGGATTAAATCTAGATTTACTAGTAGAGCTAGAGAAATGATTGAGATAAATTCGCATTTAAATACTTGGTCGGGTATTAAAGAGGCATTAGTAAATTATTTCGGGGGAAAAAAAATGCATTAGAAATTTTTGACGAGTTGCGAGGTGTAAAATTCACTAGTAACAGTGTGGAATTTTACAATGACATTAAAAGTATTTTGAGGAGACTCAGCAATAAAATTAAAGATGAACCAAACGCACACGCGTTAATTCAAGCAAACACGCAAACGGGATTGAGAGTGTTCAAGGACAAAATTCCTGAACCAATGAAATCAATTCTTTTTAGTAGAAACCCAACTAGTTTAGAAAATGCCATTAACATCTTACATGAAGGGAATTACACGAAATATAATCCTTTTAAAAAACAAAAATTTAAGGATAACCTTCAATCATCGAGGCACAATAGTAATAGTTTTAGAAATTCAAATAATAATAGTAATAATTATAGTAGTAGTCGAAATTTTAGTAACAACAGAAACAATTCTAATTTTAGAAATTCTAATAACAATTATAACAACACTCAAAATGCAGGTTTCCATAATAACAACAACTATTACAACAGAAATCCTAATTCACATCAAAATCTTAGAAATTCTTCTCACAATAATTAATAAAACATTATCACAATTTCTATAATAATAATAATAATAATAATAATAATAATAATAATAATAATAATAATAATAATAACAATAATAATAAAAATAATAGTAATAATAATCGTTATAACAACAATAATCGTAACATGGTAACACCAATGGAAGTTGACCCGAGTACTAACACCAGACTAAATACTATCAACACACAAAATGTAACACCATATTTTCAATCAACAGCCTCGGACAACCTTACCAACTCTTACCTTATATAAAAGTCCAGTCGAAGGGTAGACCACTAAAATTCATTATTGACTCGGGTGCAGCAATGAGTGTAATAAAAACTGGAATTTGTAACCCAAAATTTCATAAACAAATAACACCAATAAATATAAAGACTTTAACAAATACTTTATCCTGTAATCTTAAAGTAGAAATTGACTCCTTTATAGAATTTGACTCAAACGAAGGGATGGAATTTCTTGCAGTAGATTTCCATGACACATTCGATGGTATCATTGGTAATAATATTTTGATACCCTTTGAATGTGAAATAATTTATAAAGAAAAAATGCTAAAAATTAACGCGGGAAATGAAATTCCTATGTACTTCAGCGAAAATGAAGAACGGGAATACTATGTGCCCGTACCGTTACAAAATTTGGGTATTTTTCAAAATGAAATATTTTTATGCGAAGACCAACTCCGACTAGATCATTTAGACAGTATAACAAAAAACAAACTACTAAGTACAATAAAAAAATTTAGCAATCCATTTTATCATGAAGGAGATGATTTGACTTTCACACATCAAATTAAACATAGAATAAATATAATTAATGAAATACCAATTTATTCGAAACAATATCGTTACCCTGAAATCTATCGTCAAGAAGTAGACCAACAAATTAATGATATGCTAAAACAAGGAATAATTAGGCCAAGCGAGTCACCCTATTCGGCCCCTATTTGGGTTGTGCCCAAAAAGGCGAATGCGTCTGGTAATGCCAAATGACGCATCGTTATCGATTGCCGAAAATTGAATTCGGTGACCGTCGATGATAAATACCCTATTCCTAATATTGACAGTATTTTAGATAAATTCGGGAGGGCTATGTATTATACGACTATTGATTTAGCTAAGGGCTACCATCAAATAGAAGTAACTGAGGACGATATACAAAAGACAGCATTTAATACAAATAATGGCCACTATGAGTTTGTCAGGATGCCATTCGGGTTAAAGAATGCTCCTGCCACCTTCCAACGGCTGATGAACTCAGTGCTGGTGGAATATATCGGAAAAAACTGTTATGTCTATTTGGACGACATTATAATTTTTAGTACAAGTAAAGAAGAACATTTCGACGCGTTAACCAAAATATTAAGCAAATTAAGGGAAGGCAATTTAAAAATACAACTCGACAAGTGCGAATTTATGAAGCAGGAAACTGACTTTTTGCGTCATATTATTACAACAAATGGTGTTAAACCTGATCCCAAAAAGTTGGAGGCCATAAATAAATTTCCAATTCTACAAACTACAAAACAGATAAAATCATTTTTAGGTCTTGTGGGGCACTGTCGGAAATTTATTATGGACTTTGCAAAAATTGCTAAACCTATGACAAATTGCCTTAAAAGGGGGAAAACTATTAACATTAATGACCCTGAGTACAGAGAATCTTTTAATAAATTGAAATTACTAATTACTACAGAACCTGTCTAAGCCTATCCCGATTTTACGAAAAAATTCGTTTTAACTACCGATGCCAGCAACTTTGCGATTGGTGCTGTCCTCTCGCAAAATACCCATCCTATTTGTTTCGCCTCACGTACCTTAAATGAGCATGAGTGCAATTATTCCACCATAGAAAAAGAGTTATTAGCGATAGTCTGGTCCGTAAAATATTTCCATCCTTACCTGTACGGTAGAAAATTTACGGTCAAAACAGATCACAAGCCCCTTCAATGGCTACATAATTTGAAAGAACCGAATTCAAAATTACAGAGGTGGAAAATCAAGTTAGAAGATTATAATTTTGATGTTGAGTATGTAGCAGGTAAAGAGAATAAAGTAGCTAATGCTCTGTCAAGAGTAGAAATTTATGTAAATGAGGCGGAGGTTGAAGAAATAAGGTCAACGGATGCAACCATCCACTCCGCTAATGACGATAGTATTGACTATATCAAAATTTCGGAATCTCCACTAAATTTATTTAAGACACAAATCATAATAAAAATAGACAAAAACGAAAAAATTAATGTACAAAAAATTTATAATAGAACTAGAAAAACTTTTACACATCCTAATCCCAACGAACAATTCTTTATAAAACTATTAAGGGATCATACTCCATCCAAGGGAATAGTTGGAGTAATGATTGATGACCTTGAACAGGCCCGTCTCGACCGTGGATGCAGAAGATGCACGGCATCGGGGCGCCATTCTGAAAGGGTCTGAAAGGGCGCTAAAATCGAAAAGTGATTTTCCACTTAATTGTTTTTTGTAATTTTTTTTTTTTTAAATCAAGTTTCCAATCCAAATTTTTTTTGAAAAAATTTTTGCTTCGCTCAAATTAAAAAAACATACAAAAAAAAATGTAGTCGTAGTAGGCTTTTCTTTAAAGAATTTTTTTTTCTTTTTGGTTTATAAAATACAGACATTTTTCATTTTCGTTGCGATATTTTCAGTAAGAAAAAATAGTATTTTATTTAATTTAAATAAAATATAATTTGTTTTGTGAAATATTTAATTTTAATTAGACATTAAAGTGTAAGAAAAAAGTGTAATTTGTTGGATAATACCATTTTTGTGAGTATTGTGATTTTTATCAATTTTATATAGATTTCAAATTATCAAAATTTTCAGATGTAGATATTAATCCTCAATTTAAAGAAAACCCATTACGACGGCGTAAAAAACGTATGTTTGATTACGAACGTCGTGATGAGAGACCAAGAGACCCGGAATAGAACTATAAAATTTCATTCTTTCTTCCAATTGTCGACAGTGCAATCAACTCCCTAATAGAGAGATTCGAACTTCTAAGTAGTCATGCCGAAAAGTTTCACTTTCTTATAAATTTTAATGAAATTTATAATTTGGGTGACGAAATAATGAAAAATAAATGTACCGATTTACAAACTGCATTAACTGATGGTGAAGAAATAGACATAAACTCTTCTGAGTTATATAATGAACTTTTTATATTTAAAGATACCATAACGCCGCAACTAAACAATTATGATTTTAAACTATGTATACAAATGATTTATTTGGGATATTTCCAAATTTAACAATAGGTTTGCGGATACTATTAACTCTACCAGTTTCTGTAGCAAGTGGCGAAAGGTCATTTTCTAAACTTAAATTAATTAAGACATATTTGCGATCAAATATTTCTCAAGAGAGATTAGTTGGGTTATCAATGATTGCTATTGAAAGCGATATCTGCGATGAACTAAAAATTAATAATATTTTGGGTGAATTTGCTGCGATAAAAGCAAGAGAAATAAATTTTTAAGCTCACTATCGTGCAATTGATTTTATGTGTAATTGATATCAGTTACAAATAAATGTTTAATATTAAATATTATACAATAATCAATATACTGTTTAATTTGCATTTGATTTTTTTGATATTTTTTTTGATAAAGGGCGCTAAATAGAAACTTGCATCGGGGTTCTAGTACCGCTAGAGCCGGCGCTGACCTTGAAGTGTATAACATATTCCAAAATACCTACGTAAAACATTTCTCCAAAAACAAACTGTTAAAATTAAATAAATGCACCTTTGTACTGGACGATATAATAGACCGCTATGAAATACACGAAATTATTCTCGACCAACACATAAAAACGAATCATAGAGGCATTAATAGTGTATATCAAAGTCTCAAAAATAAATACTATTTTCCCAAATTCAAGTTAGAAATTCAAAAAATTTTAAATAATTGTCATGTATGTAATTCGGCTAAGTACGAGAGACACCCTCCTAAATTACCTTTTAAAATTACTCAAACACCAGATAAACCGCTAGAAATTGTACATATGGACATATGGTTCCCCAGTGAGAGAAACCCATTTTTAACTTTTATCTACAAATTTTCTAAACATGCTCAAATTTTGCCCTTGAAATCTAGAAACTGGCTAGATATCAAAAATTATTTTATGCAATACATAGCCTCTTTTGGTAAGCCTAAGTTAATAATTACAGATCGTGAAGGAAGTTTCAATAGTGTAAACTTTATAAATTTCCTCAAAAATGAAAACATTGACATACACTTCACTACACCCAATAACCATAGTAGCAATGCCGACATAGAACGGTTTCACAGTACGCTAAATGAACATATGAGAATATTAAATGTAGTTGAAAAAGAACAGGCAACCCCTTCTGACGAAGATCCAATTTTAAAAAGTTTAAAGATTTATAACGAGACAATACACTCTGCAACAGGTAAAAGACCTATTGACTTTATTAACGGAAATATTGACCCAAGTACTCATCCTATGATTAAACAGAAAATGGAACATTATAAAAGAAAAATAATTACCAGATGTAATAGAACAAGGAAACCAACCAAACCTTCAAAATATTTAAAATTAAATCGAGTTACAAAATTACAACCATATTTTAAAAAAGTTAATGCTGAAAGTGTAGGCGAAGACCATTTGAAAATTAATAATGAAAATTTACCGCGATATAACAGTCAGTTCAAAAAACAATATAAATTCGAAAGTAGGTAATTAGATATAATTAACTTTACTCGTAGGAATTACACTTCTTCTTCTAATATTATCACTGGGTTATGTAACAACACAATTAATAGAGATAAATGAAATAAATACTGATAATGGTTATTCTTTAATCAGAGAAAAGCAATTACAGGTAATCGAACAATACAAACGAATTTTCCACATAGTAGGTCTAATTCAGTATGAAGAATGTATAAGAAAAATAGAACTAAATATTGAAGAAATTTCACATAGAACAGAAGTGCCCATGATT